TCATGTGTGAAATAACAGGCTTGGTGATCAACAGCAACTACTGAAAACTCAAAGAAAAAAACATCTAAAACACTAGAATAACTAAGAAAAGCTGGCATACTCTTTAGATGGGCTTGTTTCACTTTCAAGCTTCAAATTCCCTTAGATAAAAAAAAAGCTGCTTTTGCATGGTCCAGCCCAGGGGATCTGGGTTCCCAGCTAGTCTCTATGTGCCCTGTGCTGACAGAGTAGGATTTTTTGAATCCCCTTTTCTGCCCTCCTCCTGCCCTCCCAATGGACCCAACCCTGCCTTACTCTTCTGTGATGAAGCTGGTTTTGACCCCTCCTTTCCAGTGACAAGGGTGGTGTCTACTCTTTGTCAGGCATCCTACTGTGCCACAAGGAAATACATGTGTATTGATGACAATATTATTTCTAATTTGTCTTATTTTAGAATTTCTTCTATTCTTTTCAGTTATGATTGTATATGATTATTAGACTCATTTGCTGCTATATAATCCCACTGCAGCAATTTTTTTCAGTTTAATGATATGTTGTTTCAAAGTTTTCTTTCTTTAAAATTCAAGGCAGGATGTGTATTATCAATACTGTTGTTTTTATTTAATATGCAGGGTGAATGATTTGGTTTTTTGAGGATACTCTTTGGTTTATGTAAGTGTGTTTCTCTCTCAAACAGGGCAGAGTGACACAAAGCTAAATCAGAAGTGGTTAAGTCGCAATATTGGAAATTCAAAGCTTAGTCATAGAAAACTGTATTACAACTTATACTCTGAAGAAGACCACACTGAGATGCTAGGGACAGTCTTAAGTCAAACATTTTCTGGCCTTTGAATGCTTGATTTGGTAAACTTGAATTTCTTTTAATGTTTTTAATTTTGACAAGCTTTTTTTTTTTTTTTTTTTTTTTAAGAGAACAAGATAGCCCAAGTCCCATCCTGAGGCAACTGCCTCTTCTTCCCTTTTTTACACTTTTCTCTGGCCTCCTTGCCAAGCAGGTCCCAGCCCTTTCCCAGTTTCTTGTCAAAGCTGTTCCCCCTTCACACACACACTGGTTTCTGCTATGTCTCCTGGTACAGCCAGCCCCTGGCTCCTCTCCTCCCTCAATGCTTTCTTTTGGTCAATGTGATCTCCCTGCTTCTCCACACTCTCCTGAATTGGGAAGTGGCTGACAGAGACACTGATAGTTGCTTTCTTCTCTCCCCTCAGTCTTGTCCTCTGTTTCTCAACTCCCAGTCTTCAGGCAGGTATTTCTCTGTTCACTGTTAATCTCCAGCCACAGCCCCATTTACCCAGTCTGATTCTGGTCCTGCAGTCTGGCATAGCTTTTGTCACTTGTTCCTTTCCTGCTGCTGGGAGTGCACCAACAAGCTCATTAGGACCATGAGCAAGCAGCTTCCTTGACATCCACCGCCCTTGGCCCACAGCCACCCACAGGCAGTGAAGTGGGTCCTGTTGCTCTGTGACCAGGTCTCTTGTGAATCTGTCACAGGCACCTGCAGAGGGTCTAAGCATCTCTGTGAGAATGGGATCTGGCTGCTGAAAGCTCCAGCATATCTGTACTGCATGCAGATTGCTTTCTTCTGTCTAAGAGTCAATATTTTTGCTTGACTTGGTACAATTTCCAAAGGGATGGCAAACAGCTGTCTTCCCAGGAGCGTGACTCCTGGCAGACCAGAAGCCCATGTGGCTATAGATCTCTGAAAATGCTTCTGTCTTTATTTTTAGTGATCAATATCTTTTCTTCTAGCTTCAATTTTAGAAATGGACCAGCTGGCTTTGGCTTGTTGGTTTGTTTTGTTGTTTGTTTTTTTGTTGTTGCTGTTAAAGGCAGAATCTGATATAAGAACTGTTTACCTTTACAGTTTAAGTTTGTAAAATTCAAATAGCTTGTCAAAATATTTTGATACTGCAAATGCAGGTCCAGGCTGTATTATTCCTTGAGACAGGTTTCAGTGAATCATCGTGTTAGCCAGGCCGTATTGTAAACTAAGAGTAAGCTGGGCACTAAGCATGGCCCGGACATATAACAAAAAATTAGGTATTGCCCTAGAGAAATTATAATTAAAATATAGAATATACTAATTCAATGTAAAACAATAAGGAGAACAAGTTAAGTTAAACTTGCAAGCTCTTAGGGTGCTGGGATCTCACCTATGAAAGATTGTTATTGCAGCACTGAAGTTTTTTAAGGATTAACCCTTGACAGTGTTTGCTAGGAGTGTGAGAAGTAACACGAGAGAAGGTAAAAAGGGTGTTTATTCAAAAGAACAACCCATGGGCGGTGGATTCTGACAGTATTGGTTGACTGACTAAGAGATCTGTCATTTTACTATTGATAGAAAGATGATAGGTGAAGAGCCCTGAAAGTGCAAAAAAGGAAACTTTACTTGTAAACCACAGCAGAAAGAGTCAGTTGAGGGATGCACATCATTAAAAATCCCCCCCTGTGCTGAAGAGAACAGACTACACACATACTGTCCCCAACAATGGGTGTCTAAAATGGTCTCAGAGGCTTCCATTGCTGCGGTGCTGGATTTTCTCCAAGGCAGCCTATCACTAGCTTTGCCACTAGAAGGTTTTTATTAATGCTTATCCTGAGCCTCCCTGACTGCCATCTAAGCTCATTACCTGCTGTGATATACACCTTCAAGGCAGAAAGAACGTGACACTCCCCGGTCATGTTCAACTATTAATCTATGGGTCCTTTTCTGCTGAACGGCTGTTAGTCTCTCAAGCTTCATCCCGTATCTCTGCACTGGATTATTTCAGATTGAATACTGAATTTTGCATTTGCTGTAGAGTAAATTGCATTTATTATTACTACTTTTCAATATTAATACAGGTCACATAATCAGTAATGAGAGGTGCTGATCTGTTTTTACTTCATGGATAAAAAACTTCCATTTACGTACATTCGTATTGGAGAGTAAATCCATTGATTTGCAAGACCCTGTTAAATGGTTATAAGCAGTATTTAAACTATAGATGCTTATCCTGACAGTTGTGCACATGTAAAATAGAAGCAGCACTTTTATGAAAGCCTTTGTCACTTGCCCATTGAAGTAAATGGGAGGCTTTCCGTTGGTTTCAGATTTCAGATTGATTTTTAATCTATTAGTTCATAACCTAAATATGGCACAGTGCTCAAGAAGTGGTTTTCCCTTTATTTGTGTACATTGCATAACATGGACAAATGTTAGTCAGACAAGACAAGATATTTTTCCCTTTTAAGGTCCCCATGCGTAGTAGGAAAACGGCACTTCTGTTTATACACTTTTTTCATGATTTTGGCTTTTTTTTTTTTTCCCAGAAAATCTCTCTGCTTGGAAGTTTTTCAAATTAAGGATTCAGCTGGGGATGTATTAAATAAACTCAGTGTGCAACAGTTTTTAATAGGGTTGGATTGAGTTTTTGTTCTCAGATGACTCATCGGACTTTACACGCCATTGGTACTGCTAGTGTCTAACCCTGACATTTATTTTAAAGAAGCCTGTCACAGTAGAAATGAAACTAATAAAGCTACGAGTGATTCTTCCTCCCTGATCCCTTAATTCACCCTTAATTCTTAAACCATCACTGCAGGAAGATAGACTTTTAGCTCTTCAAAAGGCTTCCACTCTTCAGACTCAAAAAGTTCGGGGGAATCATTAAAGGTGAACACTAACGTTATTGCAGTGAAGTTGAATGGGCAGGTTTCTATAATCAAATAAGAGATTAATTCCATATTCAAAATGGCAACACTAAAAAAAACTGCGGAAAATGCAGCATTGTTACAGTGAGTACAAGACTGAACAGACTTTATAGTAACTAATGAAATGAACTGTTATACAAATTAAGTGCTTGTACTCCCCTTTCTGCACTCAGTATCCTTCTGGCTGAACAGGCTGCACTGTATCTCCTGTCTTTTTCTTCCATATTTGTACATAGGCATACTTTTATAGTTAGAGGAACGGATATCTCAGTTGTCTTAAGGCTGTTGTGTAATTGTGGCTGTGATGGAAAAGACATTTCCTTCTTCTTATCTGCTGTCTGGTGTATTATTGTTATGTCATTATTATTACTATTGCTGCCACTACCAGAGTTTATATTATGGTAACAGCAAGGATTTTTAATCACAGAACTATATATTTGTTTTTTCTCAAAGGAACAGAGAAGGAGACAAAATACAAAATAAATATAAGAAAGAACAAGACTACGGTGTAAAATGGAATGTTATGCTGTTTATTAATTTTGATTCATAAAGATATAAAACTCTAAGGATTTGCCTCAGATGAAAGATATTCCAAAATAATACAGTATCAGTGGCCATCACTAATATTTCATACATAAAAATAAGAAGAATCTTTACGTACTTGATGAATGTGTAACTTTTTACTGGATCGAAAAAAAAGTCAGATTTTGAGGATAATGCTTTGCTTTTTTTACAGCTTATGTACATTTTCTTTGTAGTACATTGTCTTGTACAATATGCATTGAATATATTTGAAATGCATAAAAAATTATTAAAATTTTCCATATGCTACTGTGAAAGTGCAAACTATTTAAAATAATTTTTAAAAAAATGGAGCTATTTTATAATTTTTCAAATGCAGCTATCAGCTGCTATCATGTTTGCTCTGTAATACACATTAAAATTATATGTATAGTGTTGTTGGTGGCATAGTAGTTATCATCACAGATACAATGCAGTAAAATATTCAGCCAGCTTATGGCTTTCTGTAGAGAAACTGGACTTCTGATAACTTGTCAAAGAGTTTTTCTTTCAAGTTACTGATAGTTGATAAGACAAGTTAGATGGTTTGGTATAAAATTCTAGTACCACATATTATGCATTTAGATGGATAATACAGAAAAAGAAAAGGAAATCTGGGGACAAATAAGCAGTCAAGTGATTAATAAATAATTAGTTTATCAATGCCAGATCAGTGCAATTCATACTAATTTTAAATTAGATTTTTAAATAAGTTGTGATATCAAAATAAAAATGGAACTGAGAAGCATTAGGTTAAACCAGTCCTGACTTGAAACATGTTGAAATATGAAGACTTTTCTTTGAACGCTACCCAACTCAAAGAAAATCCACAGGGAATAAACTGTGAAAAAACTTCTAAAGCCTTTTGCCTGAAGTATTTCCCAACAAAGACGTAAATCAAAGGGTTAATGCAACTGTTGGTGGTAGCCAGAGTATAACCAAACTGCTCACCAAAGTTAAGCAGTTCCCCCCAGAAGCAGCCTTTGATCACTTCTGTCTCGTACAATATATCAAGGAATACAAAAACATGGTAAGGAGTCCAGCACAACAGAAACATGAGTACGACTGTGAAGATCAGCCTGGTAGCCTTTGTGCCTTTGTGCTCCTTGCAACCCTTTGTTCTGAGTGCTCTTCGTTCTCTTGCTTTTTTTTGTAGGGAGCGAATGGTAGAGAAATTAAGGAAGATGATTGCTGTAGATGGCAACGCAAACCCTACTATGTTGAATACCAGATTTTCAGCTGTTACCCACGATTGGGTGGGGAAGTCTAAAGTGCATGCTGAAATATTCCACAGGGGAAAGTGTTTCACAGTCCGAAACATAAAGTTTGGGATGCTGAGAAAGATGCCAAAGAGCCAGATGAGCAAGCAGATCCCTTTGGCCATCTTTTTGCACCGTATCACTCTGTGGTTCAAGGTATGAACAAAAGTCAAATAGCGATCCACGCTGACTGCCACTAGCGAGTAGATGCTGGTGTACATGTTTAGGCTGATAGACGCACTGGTGCTGCAACAGAGGAAATTGCCAAACGGCCAGTTAAATTCATTCCTGATGTTCTCTGTCCAGAAAGGGAGGCACATGAGGAAGATAAGATCAGCAACAGCTAGGTTCACAAGGTAGATTTCAGCTATCTTCAGGGGGCCCTTGTGCAGTGAATAAGTGAAGAGAACAAGTACATTTCCAAGCATTCCAATAATGCAGATGGTGTTAATATACTTGGGTACTATATAGTACACGATTTCCCACCAGTCGTTCAGGTCTCGGCAAATAGTTTCGTTTCTCTTGTTATCACTCAGGTTTGAGGAGGGAACATTCAGTAGAGGATTTTCAGTCATTTTTTTTTTTTAATTCTGAGGTGAACCAGAGACGTCTTTGAAATGAAAGAAAGGGACTGCAAAAAAGAAGCATAACATTCCAAAAGTTGTCTCCCATCAGTGCTGTAACAAACATTTAACTGCGGGAAAATTGTTATTAGTGCTCACTTATCATTATAGGCTAGATCAATCCATGCTTTGTTATGTGCAGTGGTGAGAAATGTTCCAAATATTGGCAAGGATTGAACTTCCTCTGCATCTATGAAATTTCCTCTCTTTGCTGCCATTGTTTAAAGTAGCACAGAGGAAGGAAAGTGCCAATTTAGTGTAAGTAATTCTGTATGTCTCCTCCAGACCGATGACAGAAACAGATACAGCTGAATGCCAGCTCCCTGAGAGTTGCGGGAGTCACACTGGTGACACAAAGCTAGCTTTGCACCCTTCCCTGCCCTTTCTCTTACTCTTATTTTCCATGCTATGTATAACTTTAGCAGGATGATGCCCATTTCCCCGAATTTGGGAATGCTACTCCCTCTGTGTGCATCACTTCTTAACTTTGCAGTTTTTTGTTCCCTCTCACTTCCTCCCATCCTGAACTTTGGGTTTAAAATTACTGTTAGATAAGACATCTTATTGCCCTCAAATGTCAGCATTTGTAGCAATAAAACACCGACTCCTCCAAAATTGTATGCTTAAAATCTTCCCTGGAGGGAAGGCCTCTGCAGCTCCAAATTCACAACACTTTTCTCTAGTTCAAAAATTTCATTTGAGTTCAGCTGGATGGAGGCAGCCCCAGCCTCCAAAGCATTTATGCTTTATAGCATTGGCAATACCTTTATTTCTCTCTGGTAACTCCATGTGAGGTTGTGCAGGAATGAGAGTACAGGCAAGATGTTATCCTCCCATGAAAAATCCACTGAGTTGCCGGAGCTGCCTCCTGCGGTGACTTGATTACTTTATTATCCTGGTGGTGTCATGATCGAACATAGCACCTGGATCAGTTTTTTAATAACAGTTTGAGTTGGAAGGGACCTTAAAGATCACCTTGTTCCAACCCCCCTGCCATGGGCAGGGACACCTTCCACTAGACCAGGTTGGTCACAGCCCCATCCAACCTGGCCTTGAACACTGCCAGGGAGGGGGCAGCCACAGCTTCTCTGGGCAACCTGTGCCAGTGCCTCACCACCCTCACAGTGGTGTTTTTTTACAAACATTCAGTCTCAGAATCATTATGGTAGGCAAGATGCTATGGAGCCTGTGGTGATATCTAACGTTTCAGTATTTCACATGCAAGTGGAGCATGCCAGTCATAAAAAAGAAAAAAAAAAAAGCATTTTAAAAAATCAGTATTTTGCAATCAGTATCCTGAGCTTTAGCTTTTTGTTACAGCTGTTTAACTCTGCTCTTTCAGTTTCTGTATTTTTACACCAAGGAGGTAGCTAAGGATGGAGTTTCTGAACAGAGCATTTAGGACCATCGTTCATCTCTTACATATATGTACAGCCTTAGTGATGTCTGTATCTGAGCAGCTTGCAATACTTACCTCTGTGATGCCTCTGGGAATTAGTTAAGTACTAATATTCCACATCGCACAACTTCGTACTTAATGCACAGAACATTTTTCATCTTTGCAGAATTAAGTGTGCAGCAAAGTTTTTTCTGAGTTCATGAACTCACTCAAGCTGGCAGTCTTATCAGGGAACTGGGCTACAACTGAACACAGCTCTCTGGCTTTTTCATTCCCTCACAACAGTTTGAATGTTATCTAGTTCACTGACAGTCTCATGCAAAATGAGGTAACTTGAGAGGATCTAAAACTGAAGAGAAGATATAGAGAGCAAATAAATTGCCGATTAGCATCAAAAAGGCTATTTGT